CATTAGATGCCATGAGCGCGGCTGGTGTCGCACGACTTGCATTTCCCCCCGGAGCAAGGGCGGGCGTCGGCTCACCGACGCCCTTTCGATGGGGACGAGAATGATCGCGAGACAAGTGGAGGGGCCGAAGAGGAGGATTACCTTTCGGATAGTGGAGCCACGGGCTTCATGACTGCGGTGTCTGATCTAAGCAAAAGTGGAGGAGGCTGGCCTTTCTCTCAACGGAAAGGACACGGTGATTCTCACGCGAAAAACGCCGACGGATCTCGGGCTTGGCCGCGACATGTCACGACTGCCTTCATCCACACGCCCACACCCTTTTTTCTTTCCTCCTTTTCTTCCTCCTCCCCAAGCACCTTTCCAACCACCGGCATCAATGCGTCAGATAGAGCGCTCTCCTCGCCCCCCTCATCCTTTCCCGCGCTAGCTGCAGATTCCTCCATGCCCTCTCGGTCTTTTGCACATGATTTGCAAGGCCATGGCAATGCGCGCCAGACAAAAGACGCCACAGCCATTACGACGCCCGGGCCCCTCGCACATTCGCTTGCGTCCTCCAAATATTTTCCATCGGAAGACGCAGATCCTCCTTCTCTTCCTCCTTCAACGTCTACGGCTCCTGCCACTATTTCCGCGCAACACCCGGCATTGAGTTTTCCTCGTCCTCCTTCTCGGCTTCTGTCCCCGCCGATGCCGTCTTCCGATGGAAATCCGCCGGATGATTCCGAAGAACAAAGTCCAAAGAGCAGCCTGTCGATGGCTTGTCAATTAAATCCTGATGGCGGCACCAGCCATCATGTTACCGACGTCCAAAGGGATATACCGAGCGTGGAGTGGCATCGTAGCCGCATTCCCAGTCGCCAAGTCCGAAAGCCTGAGGTGATCAAACCAAGCATGACCTTAAAGCCTGTACGAGGCGTGAGTGGTGTAGGGAAAGGACGAGGGAAAGCAGTTCGCATCCCTCGATTGGCACCGCCGCACCGGGTTGGGAAAAGAAGGACGGCTGTCGCTGGGAACGGTGTCCAGGCTGGCGACGAAGAAGACGACAGCGGAGAAGGCGTAAAAGAGGGGAGGCTGAAAGGAGGAAGAGAAACAGGTAATGGAGCCCGTGCAGCGTGGAGGGAAAGGAAGCGTGGTGACGCTCGTTCCCATGCACGACATATCGACCGTGCGGGTTTTAAAGCTTTTCCTACGGCGTCGACCAGGCCGCAAGAAAATCCTTCAAAGGAAGCGATCAGGGCGCGGGAAGAGCTTCGGGAGCATGACCTGTCCGTGCACGTGCCAGCACGAGAGAAAGTCAAAAGCAGAACGGCGCGGTGGCGGTAAAAGTAACGAAGGCGGCAGTCGAGAGGCGCAATAGACTATGAAACTGGAACCGAGAAAAATAAATTGTCTGATAAATCGCGACGCTGACGCACAGGAGAAGAGACAGGAACCGTGAAATCGATGAAATTTTACCCCAAATCGCAGATTGCATTTAAAGTTGTTTTTCTTATGGTAGGGCCGCGCATAGAAGGATGTTATATACCTACGAAGCTTCGCCGCGAGCACTTAGCCGGCTAGTCTAAGGCGGCTGCTTGCCTGCAAGTGGCCAACGGAATGTCACAGCTTTATTGAGATGCCTGCATAATCGACGTAAATCTCTTGAGCACCGCGTAATCATGGACCAAATTTTCACAGCCGCCATAATCCTTGTCCTCCCTCCCCCCGGCTCCCGCAGGACCTTTCCGACCCCCCTGCTTCTCCATGGTCTCATTCTATATATCTCGGACATGCACATTCCTTCTTTTGTACCCTGTATGACCTCGTTTACTGCCTGCGCAAGCAATCTTCGGCCCCCCATCCCTTCCAAGTCGCGCCGTCGTTGATCGCTTTAAACTCTGGTGACACTCCGGCGAGCCGGGTCATACCCAATTTTGGCCCAGGCCTGCGCCAATTCCTCATACAAGGCTGGGTGGGATTGCGCGAAAGCCTGAGGGTCTTCCGCAAAGACCACAAAGACAGTGGCCACGCCCGCGTCCAGGACACTCATGACGATCAAACTGACAAAGAATCCCGCGAAAAAACCCACCACCGCTAAGATGACTGGCCAATTTCCCCCCAACCCAAACATGGTTCCGTACACAAAGCCGACCACGGCCGTGAGCAAGGCAATAATCAGGGCGACCAGATTGAGGGCAGTTTCGGCAAGATCGTCGTTGATGATCGCCGTCAGACCCGCGCGTTTGAAGAGCTCGAAGGTCTTGGTCCCGGACTCCCGGAAGCCTGTTCCGTAGGTGGCACAGTAGACCATGGCGTACCTGGGGAATGGAACATAGAAAACTCAAAATTGTTAAGAATTATTTATAGCCATGTAGCTAACTATGCCGTCCGACCCGACGTTATTCCTCCGGACCCCATCTCTCTGTTCTCCATCTCGCCCAGCCTACCGGTTGAATATCTGCATCAGGCGTTCGATGATGGCCATCAGACAGTTCACCACGCAGGTCAAGGCGTTCTCCCGTTGCCCCTGTCTCCGGCCAGCGTGCAGCATCTGCCGCAAGGCCCGCAGCACGGCAAGGATCAGGGAACCGAAACAGATGGAGCCGAAGGAGGTGCTAGAGGCCCGGAAGAAGGACTTGGAGACGACACCCTTGTTCTGTCCGCTGTACCACCAGTCGGCCACCATGCCCGCCGCCGAGCAGAACAGGACGTTCTTTACTACCAAGCTGCCCCAAAACAAGGAGATGAAAAGGAGGAACATGATAAGCGGCGACACGTTCGCGGAAAATTCGCTCAAGTCCTTGCAGACGCCGGCCTCGGAGAGGGCCACCACACCCTCTGCCGTCTCCCGGGAGCAGGCACAGGCGCCGGCAGTGTCCGTGCACTGAGAAAGCAGAAAGCTCGTCCCTTCGATGACAACGATCTCGGCCCCCTTGGTGACGGCGACGCCGTACGCGGCCAACTGCCATAGGAGTGCCCACCCCATCTGGACGACCGTCATCACAGCCGCCAGGAAGAGGATGGAAGGGTATTGAAGGGTGGCGGTCGCGGAGCACTTCAGATTCATGGAGGCTGCGAGTGAAAAGGGAGAGGGTGGGAGGGGAGCAATGCGTCAGCGCTTGTGTACCTGTCAAGACGAACTAGGCCCCCGCGAGGATACCGCCTATGCCCGCGGGGACAAGTAACCTCATCTTTCCCTGCCTCCTGTGTCCATCCCGCAAGCCTTACCGAAGGGAATTCGGTCCCTCACGCAGTAATACCACATGACTTGGATCGCGCCCATGAGCCCCGCCATAATGGCCATCACGAAGTTCCCGTACACGAGGGCCAGAATGACGCCCACGCCCGAACTGATAATGCTCCCAATCAACGCGGCCGTGATGATGTGAGCCGCGTTCCGGAGTAAGATGCCCGTCCAGAGTGCCGACCAGGCGGCGGCCGCCCCCAAGACGACGGCTAAACCAATGTACACGGAGGTGAGGCCGCTCTCTGCGATGCGATAGTGCTCGCCCGTGGGGTCTTCGGTCGTGGGGGTGTCTGTCGTCAGGTCTTGGTCCCTCAACGCCTTCAGTCCACGTGCAAAAGCCAGGTAAGCGATGAAGCCCAAGTGGGCGAGGAAGAGGACTGCCGCCCATGCGTCCTGGCATTTGGCCGCGTCTCTGTCTCCCCCCCCACTCGCAGCACCGGACGCCGTGTCGCCCCC